CAAAACTAGTTGTGTTTTCTTCCAAATTATCCTTTTTCTTTCCTTATGTTTGTGTACTGGCTACCTCTTACTATGTGGAACTGCTAAGAGTCTAGGCATCCAGAAATGGGGCTAAGCAGTAAAAGAGAAGAAGAGAACAGCAGATTTGCTATGAGATTAGTGTCATTCACTATTGAAGAGGATCTGCAAGTGATCTCTGATCAATTATCAAAGCAACCAGAACCCACCATGCCCAGCTAAACAGTCCCACCCCTGTCTTTCCAGGAGGTAAAAGTGCTGACTGAAAACATGTCAGATTCTGGGTCTAAGATTCAAACCCGACAAACTCTATTTCCGGCTTTATGGAAGGAGACAACTCCAACTTCCAGATGTAAAACACATTTTCTGGCAAAACTATTGAGCCTGGTATTTGACAACTGTCCCAAAGATACATTGTTGGAAATCTGGTGAACTTTTAAAAGTTGTTTTAGTTCTATTAGTAGAATTTGTAGGTCTAGCCCCTTTAACAAGACACAGATGTGTAAAGTGACTACCTGTGGGAAAAGTGTCCCTCCCACTCAGATAAGGCCTTGGCCCTTCCTTGGGGAAAACTTCCAAATATGAACCACAAGCCACAAACCAGCTGCAAGTAAAACAATTACATCTGAGCCAAGCAGTTTTTATACCCATTTTTACCTTTACCAAGAAGGTTATGGTTTTGGGGCTGTGTGTCTGTGTGTTACAATATAACTTGAGAAGTCGTGAATGGATTGTAATCATGTTTGGTATGTGGGTAGGCATTGGTGACATTGGGAAATGGTTAGATTATGGACCTCCTAGCAGCTTTCTAAGGTACCATAGAAAAACTTTTCCTATTAATTTAGTAATTAGTACCTTCTCTATGGATCAAATCAGGATTCTGAGTTCCACAATATCAATTTCTTATAAGATGGATGATCCTTTGGTATAATCCTCTCAAATTCAATCCAGAAGCTCTCAGAAAACTGGTAGTAATTTAACCAATCCTGGATCATTAACCTCCTCCATGACACAACATCTGATGGCCAAAGATCAAAGAACACATCTGCCCCTTTCCTTCAGAGGTGGGTGGGGGAGGGTGTCTACTCAAGGCTGTTTTTGGAAATTCAAAGCTCTTTTAGTGAAAGATTTGATTAATCTGAATAAAGGCTGTTCCTTGAATGACAGATGCGAAGACAGGTGAAAGTACTGGTACCACAACTCTTTCTCTCTTTAAATAATTGATTGTTGATGTATGTGAGAGTTCCTTGAAGTTGATCTATGAACCTAGCCTGGGTGTCATCCTATTTCTTAGTACATATTTGTATACTGGGCCGAGTATGGGGGCCCAGGATACAAATAGGACGGCACCCAGGCTTCCATCAACCAGTATAACATAGTAAAATTGATGTATGTCTTATCTAACAGTTCTAATATGCTAGAATAAACTGTGTTGCAATAAAAGAAAAGGAGCAGGTAAGGGATATCAATTTCATCATCACTTACCTAAGTACAAACCTCTTATTTTTGTGTCTTGAACATTGACTTACACAATCCGCATGCTATATAAGTAAAGTATCATCAGTACTATCTCTTTATTTCTTCCTCCTTATCCACATCTAGTGAGTTGACTATCTCTTTTAATTTGTTTTATGCCTACCTCACTTCATCTAATGGCTCAGTCCTGCCAACTGGTGTCCTAAGCCAGTCCAGTCTTACATATACATCATTCATGACATACATGTACAGTACTATCTTATCTGCATTGCCAGGACAGGCACTTCCCTTACTTAGCCTGGATATGTTAAGGATGATTGATGACTACCATTAACTCAGTATTACAAACATTTTGGGGAGCTGAACCAATCCCTGATGCTAGTCCATCAACAGGACTGGGATGAAACAAAACAACTGCTCTGATAAAAATGTGGGAAGGAATTTCCTAATCAAATTAATCTGACACAGATTGCCACTCTTCAGGTTTTTTTTTTCAAATCACTTTTATCTGGAATCCATTCTTTCTGCCTTGTTTGCCTCCAAACACTCCAGAAACAGTCATAAGGACGGTATTATTACAACTGTATAGAAACAGATAGATACCAGGTTACCACTGGTAACTTTAGGCTGGCATAAAAAGCAGTGGGTGAGAGAAAAAAAGTTCTAAAAGCTGTGATCTCCTGCCTGGTCTATTTTGTTCAGCTAGTCAAATATGCTGATGAAACAAAGCTAGACAAACCCAAATAAAAAAGAATGAGGGTTGAAACATTTTCTGTACTTGAACAACAAACAACAAAAAATCTTTTGCCCCAAAATGGAAACACATTCATTCCTCCTTGTATCTTGCTATAGATATAAAAGGTATAATATAAAACTGAGAAGCAAGAACACATTGAGTCATTCACACATTTATGATGCCATGACAAGTTGACATGTACAATTAGATCAGATCTTGAATCAAACACACCAGTACAATGTACAATGTATATGGAAAGAATAGACATCTATGAGCATTGCTCATAGATGGCAGTGACCATCTCCACTGACATACATGTAATATTATGATAATGTTGCTCATTGAGCAACATTATCATAATATTACATGTATGGAGATGGTCACTGCCATGTATCATGAACTCCATGCATGTCTTGACCATGTTTAGGTTAGCCAATTTTACTGGGTCACGCTGTAGTTGCTGTGCAAACCTCCCAAACAAGACCCTTGTTTGCCAAACTGACGCATTACCTTCAAAAGCCGCCCCTGACAAAGGGATTCGTTGCTGCATTATACACAAGAGCCACGGACTTTGAGCCGGTCACCACTAACCATAAATACCAAAATAAAAGGGACCACCCAACACAGTGAAACAGTATCAGAATTTCATACATAACTCTAATCTACAGGTCAGTTTCACTTAAATGCGGAACTATCTTGCTATCTTCTCACTGGAATGTTGTCCCGACCAGATTCTGTGTTGCCATCTGGAAATTGCAGTTTGATACCATGGCAAACTCTCAAGTCAAACATTTGCCCATGCCACCAGACTGAGTACACACTGTGAAAGAAACAAATGCCTGATAAAAGCCTCTAAACCAATTAACACTCCGATGCTATCTGTGCTTATCCCAGATATACACCAGATATAGCCCCGAAAATTAAGTCACAACAAGGTAATTCAGTTTTAAGGGCGGTGGGGTGTTGGGGAAGGGTTATTGTATGGGTACAGTCAAGCGTGGGACATCCTTGTGACTTCTCGGACTAAAAAGACATTGAGGTCTGTGTCTATCGCATCTTTCATCATGAATTTGCCCCATTTACGTAAAAGGAGCTATTCTATAGAAAACAGAGGGAATTTTCACAGGATCTGTTCAGTGTTTGGGGACCATACATCGGTATGTTTGAATACTAAATAGTTGCTTGGAAGGGAAACAAGAAAGAACCACAGATGACAGAAGCCATTTTTGGACGTACTTCTTTCGGGTATTGTTGTCTGGTTGTCAGTTGTTTTATCAAGTCCACATTTAGAAGCACCATAATACATGTTTCTTCAATATTCTACCAAAATGTTCTAATTTAAAGTAATTTGAGATGATAAAACATGGTCTACCAGAACCATTCAGATACCATCTGCTTTGATAAATTGAAATGTTGCAACATAATTTTCTCCTCAATTTCATTTTATTAAAATGCCATTTCGTTATCATAACAAGCCATAAAAACATATTAGCTCCAGAGAAGGGCCAATCAGTAACAATTTTATTGGGGTGGGGCCTTTGGAGGGATGTCTAGTTACACACACACACACAAAATAGCCTGTTTTATTCCTATATAAATATTAACATATTTCTGGTCATACAAAAACTTGTACTTATATTCAAAAAGTATATATATCCCATATGACCATCCAATCAATCAATCAATCGATCAATATTTTACAATATTTTTTACAGTATATTACAGTACATAAGTAACAAACATATAATCTTCGAGGTATCTTCTTCTTCAATAAAATATATATAATTAGCACACTCAATTGTTGACGCTGAAATCAGTATATGAAAATGGGAGAGACTATGAAGTTTGACAGTACAAATGTAACTGAAAACCATTCTGACATTTATGTTTTTCTTGTGGCCTCCCGAACCCCCTATATTTGTTATTTCTGGAACCCCCTACACAGCCTCGTCTCTGAACACACAAAACACCACCAGCTGCCTTCTTACAACAACTTGTCTGCCTCCTCAAGATAATTTCAGGGTAGAGAATCGCGAGTGTTGACCCTTCCGAGTCCGTCTGATCTCTTCATTTTCTGAAGGACACAAAAGGGTCTGGCCATGGTGATTGTCTGGAGTGGCCATCTCCCACTGAGGGGGACACTATAGCCTAACATGTCCGGGCTGGTCTGGGCACCAAAATATAGACTATAATGTACGGTTCTGTGTCTGGATGAGTGGTATTCTAAAAAGCCGTTTACAACATCTATGATCAGATTGGATGATGTTTGTAATTATATCAAGTGGCGAGACTGTGGCGAGTCACAATATGCTGTATAATCTATTTTCCAAACGCCACGGAAAGGCAGGGCCTTTTTCATGAAGAGTCTATGAAGGCAACGTTATTTTATAAATCGACAGCGTTATGACTTATGTTATTGTGATCTAAACATCTGTATTTCAGATGTGGAATCTGAGAAATGCCGTCCTAAGAAGGAGGGACGCTCTGGTATAAATCATAGGAGCAGCCAGCTTTGCAAGATTAAATGGATCGCTCAAAAACAACAACAGCCGGACTTCAGAAAGCCAGCCGCCCGGCCAGTCGACATGCCGCAAGAAAAATATATAACGTTAAGGCACAGGAAAACCGCCCGACTGCCGCCCAGATGACACGTATTTCCGCAAATACGGGCCTTTCCTGTCACATATTCGGATGGAATCCCTTCCTATGATATTCTATTCGTACATAACTTGGCAGAAAACGGTAGAATTCGGTTAAAACAAGAGCTTACCGTTAGCGTTGACCGTCTCCTACCCAGCTGAAAAGCCAGACCGTTGCTGCTCTAACAGGCTGACCTCTGACCTGCCTGACGTCATTTCTTTACCCGGGGGCGGCCCAGCAAACAAAGTTGACCAATAGGAAGCCAGAACTCGGGGGATTTAAATATTTGGCTGAAATGAAGCGTTCTGATTGGTTGGAATTTAGGGGTATCCCCCGCACAGGTGACTGCAGGTGTTGCCATATGGGAACGTGCCATGTAGCCATGTAAATATTTTGGTATTGATGCATGCTTTCCTAAAACTACTAATTGATTCTTGAAAAAAAAAAAGAAATATTTTGTATCATTTGTGTCGAATTTGTATAAAATTGGCAAGTAACCAAGTGTATCAAATAGCAGGGTGGTTCAAGTCATTTCCCGTGGGGGACGGAAGTGAGTAAGAATGTAGACAAACGTTGGACAAAAGAAACAGTACTGGGGGCAAAAACTTGTCAGACATTCTCACAATGGATACGTCTAAAGTGGTTTGTTTGGCGGGCCAACCCCCAATGCATATATACCTAGAGGATGGTCAAAGTCAAAGATATAAAGGTAGGTAGGGCAATGTACTGTAGATGCATACAGAGGATAGGGTGATTAAATAAAACCTTATGGCTGGTATGCAAAAACTTTTACTTAGGTGAAATGTGCAAAACTGTGAAACCTGACAGGAAACGCAGGATGTTTCCCACATTTTTCCCCGCAGAAAGAAACGCAAATAAGAATAGATGAAGTATGATGTTTTGGTACCATCATCTACAATCAGTCATATTGATAATGAATGAAATTCCATTTTTATTATACATTTATGCTCTTTAGCTCTTACAAGCTAGGTACATATCATACTAGGTGCAATGAACACGTTACATGCAGTGATAAGATTACAAGAGCCTGGTATCAGGGCTAAAGGGTCCTAAAGGGCGTAATTAGACAAGTGACCCTCGCCCTTCCGTGCTAGAAACTTGGTATTCAACTAGCTCAAGAATTTTGTCAATATGTGATTAAACAGCAGGCTAATGATTCCGACGTTCCGATAATGTTCTGTTCCTCCGATTCACACACCCAACAGGAGGCCTGCCAACTACAGTATAATGGTTCCTGCACGGTACAAAAGCGCCGCCTAGTAAGCGTTGTAGTCAACAATGGTACGGTGCAAATTTAGCGCCGCCCGGCGGAATATACAAAAACGCAATATTGGAATATGTATCCCTCAGTCAATATAGATTGATTCATCGATCCTGCAGCACCATTTCGTCTCTCTACACTGGAATTTAACATGTTGCATTGCTGTTTACGACCGTCGGGTGGCGCTAATTTTGCACCGTGAAAAATCGGTCTGAGCGACGGATTGATAAACTGCGGTACCATCAACGCTCACTAGTCGGCACTTCAGCACGGCCGTTTACAACAGGAGCTTGCAACAGGTGGCCAGCCATACTTTTCGAATTACTTATCTTCTGCGTGTGGACAAGGATTTTTAAACTCCATGATGTAAATAAGCAACGTTAATGAATCTCCTTACTAGATTTTAACGTTTTAGGTTCAGACAACATTAGCAGCTATCACAAGTTGAAAGAAACGCTGATAAAAAGGAAAGCACGGAAGCTTGTACTCTGCTCTACATGTAGTTTTGAACCAGGCGAGTCTTGTGTTCTGTGGTATTGTGTCAGCGTCTCACCCCGTCAGACTCCCCCGATGGAACACGGTTGATTCGCATCTCCCTGAAAAGAGGTCAGGTATTTGGTAATCACATGCATGTTCTTGGTCGTTAATAATAATTCATTGGTTTGGTATGTGAAGATTAATATGTAACATTCAATATCTTAGGCAATCCTTTATATATCTATCAATAGTTCGTGCTTATAAACCTGCCTTTCTCCTGCAAGTGTCTAGTGTCACTGACGAAAGGTAGTGGTTGCTATGCTACCTGAAACGTCTGACCGTTTCCAAAATCATATCCAGTTGCTTGAGTAACTGTTTTTGGCGTATCTTACATCTAACCTTCACCGACGTGATCCTTTATCTACTTTCCACCCACGCTCCACCATACAGATATCAAACATTTTTGCCTTTCCGAAACAAAAAATGCAATTCTTTGAAAGTATTTTCTTTCAATGAGAGACCAAGAATACTTCTTATCAAGACGATTGAAACTCACGTGATGAGATCGTTGTTCTTCAGACAGCCGTCCCCTTTAGTCGTCGTTCAGTCCAGTTATTTGCACCTCATTATTCACAAGTAGTTGATACAGTTCCTCATACAGTACATCTACGCCTTGTTGACCGCTTTTTAAACAAGAAATCAAGACTTCAGACTTCCAGGAGGTGTTTGTGGGTTTTCTTAATGTATAGGAACTGCATTGTATGATCGTTGGGGTGTGGGGGTGGGGGGAATCTGGTTGAATGGGAATGGATTGTTATTCACACGATTATATGTCATAACTTACGTCCGTATTACACGACGGTTTATGTTTCATACCATGATTACATATTCCAGGCGAACACGTACGAGTACCTGCCACCCTAGCCAAGCCCGCTTACCTAACACGAGTCTGACTAAGCTGCTCAACTAATTGGAAGTCGAGCAGGATAGACCGCGCAAGACGTTTGCGCTCCTCTTCTTCCTCAGATTCGTCCGAATCCTCATCAGATGACTCCGGACTAGCCTCGCCTGTACAAGTGACATGCAATTCATCATTTGTAATGTCTATGTACGAACTTGTAACGTCCTATGTAGTTGCTGGCCATGTCAAATGCGACATCAGACAACATGTGGTGCTAGATTTTTTGTCTTTTATTTGATTAAGTCTATACACATAAGATTTTAATGTGCACGTCTTATTGCCGTATTCTATTTTCACCTTTCTCGAGAAGGTTATGTTAGGTACATTATAAGTGGGTGTTTCCGGTGGTAGATGGAGTAAATGTGGAGTAAAATGTACAAATTTTCATGACCTTTCCTTCGTAATCTCCTTCTGAACCACGTCAGCTACAATGATTTCTCCCTTTCGTAAAATCGTTACCCCCTCTACCAATAATTTCTCGGTTCAACCCTCCTTTATTTGAAAGCCATTGAATTTCACACTTCATGAGGACTATTGTAGCATTACCATACCTTCATCTCGCTTCCAGACGGGATACCCCTGAACCGCTGCTGTGGTCAGCACCAGGCACAGGAGACAGACGGCCCTCATTCTAACAGCTCAGCTTGTGGCCGTGGAGAAAATGAGAAACATATATAAAAGCATATTTTCGTGAAATCCGATGAATTATTTCATCCCTTCCTCTTGTTGCCACCTTAATCATTTCTTACTAGTACAATGTATGCATTATTCCTACGTATGAAACGTTTAGTATGTTCACAGTAGCGCAAAAGGGGTTTGTCCACTTTCGCACACCTATAACAGCTACAAGTTTTAAACAAAGCCTACCGTAAGTTTGCCGCCAGTTACAAAGGTGTTAGATACACGAAAAATACCCACCTGTATACTGCCTTACAGCTCAATGCTCTATCAGGCTGCTTCAAGTGCCGAAGCTTGATCCACTGCTCGGTCAGGGTGTGATGCGCCAAAACTCTTTGCGTTGCGTTCTCTACACGTACCAAAAACATCCTTCTGCTTCGTGGGGGTGAAATGGAGATGGCTCAAACTCAGTAATTCAATCCTAATGCCACAGTAAAAAACACCTTTTGAGCCGATCATCACACAAACGCACTTGACGCGGCCTTTTGACACGGTCAATGACAGTTCTTTAGTAGTTAGTTCACTGTTAACTTTGAACGGTCTAATGATCAACTTGCTCTTCTCACCTGAACACTCGCTACATAGGATGCTCAGACAGCACTTGGATCCTCTCTGGCCGGCTAACTCCCCTGGTATACTATCCCTTTATTTCGACCAATATTTCTACTATTTTTCCAGCAATCCGCGGTGCCTGGTAGAGGCTACCTGTTTACTACATGTATGTCTAAGTAATAAAGCCTAACACACATGAAATCATGCAGAGGAATTCCTATAACCTTACAACAGCGCTTTTGTACAACTTCAAGCACGCCTGAGAGACATTCACATTCAATGTGAGACCTTTTGGCCTCAGACAATCTGCCTGTCAATCATCCCTGACCCACGTGCTGTCAACCTGTGGTCAAACTTGCTCCTTAATTTCACCTATCCACCGCCAGGTCATTAAATCACCAAACTTAATTTGCTTACATACAGTGTACACTTCATTCTAATCTTACACTCGTAAACAAATCCACACCCAACACAGATTTCCTAAGACCAAGGTTTAGCATCACTGATTTTATTAAGAAGGGGGATAAACCATTAATGATACTACACTGGGCCAGAAACCCACTTCCACAAGTTCCTTCAGGATCGTTCAATAATGCACCGCTTCAGGGTGGATGCAAATTATGCACACAAATATCCTGCACATTTTTCCAACCTTTTTCCTACAAAGAAAATAGACTCTCTTCTCATACACATTCATATTCGAAGCTGACTGTCTGATCAAACCTACTACTTACTGTGTCAATATTGCTTTTAGTATCTGATCCAGTCCTGTCGTAGCCTCAACGCTCTACAGCAAGCAAAACATGTACAACTATATACAAGACGTACTTTATACAATCTTGGGTCAACTTTTTTCTGCTTTACACATTTGTGCTGATTTTCTGCTAGCCCTCACCAATACTGGACCATTCAAACTCATCCCCAGCTACAGATAAAAATGCACCAAACAAAGAAGGCCATTCTAGCGATGGGAAACATGCATGAATACCCACACAGGTTGTGTACCTGAACTTATTACCTTCATCCCTGGCCATAATCTTATGAACAGGTACTGTCCAATCAGAAGGAAGGAGAGAACTGTTACATTCCTCTGATTGGTTGCCACTACTTATGACCCAATCACGTTGGTAGCCAATCAGAGGAAAGTAACAATCACCTACTTAAACCTCTGCTTGGAGAGTGTGAACAGGCAGGAATTGAAAAATCAAACCTTTAGCTTTTCCAGCCCACAGTTAACTGAAGGGCACTTACAATAAGACCACCCAATGTACACGCAGGTACAAGTGATCTGACACATACCATAGCAATCTACATAATAAAGCAGCATTCTTTAAACAATTACTAGTATAACCATCACATTGATCTGGGTGAAACATTGAACATGTGGAGGGCCTCTTATTAACTAGCCTGAACTCCAGCCGTGTTTGGCTTCAATCCACTTAAACAATCATCCCAAGGTGGCTGGGTCTCAGTCTAACAGTAGCTAACAATCTTAGGCTTTCCTTTGCAATTTTGACATGTGATATCTTTGAGTAATGAGAAAAGTGTACATGACTGACACACTGGTAATGTTTTTCTTTATGTGGACAAGAGTTGTTTTTTTAACTTAAAAGACAAAGTTCTATGAGATTTATATACTGGTACCACTTTAAGTAACTGTAAGAAATGTTCTGATGTATAATGTAATTGGACACAGTACAGCCTATACTAAAAAAACATCAGTAATGCACTGAAACATAACTACAGCTCTTTTGACATTTTAAAATGCCAGTATTTTCTGTATTAAACTTAAGTGCTATGTTGCATTGATTCCATGGATGCAAAGAAACTCTGAACATTTCCTACTTCCAACGTGTGCTATTAGACTAAGATGAAACATTTTTAAACATTATAACATAAAATTGTTAGGACTTGGATGATCACAAGACTTTTCAAGTTCCCGTAGAACACACTTTTCTCAGACATTAAGAGTAGCCTATTTACCAACATTCTGAACAATTTCCAAACTACATTATAGTCATGTAGTTACTAGAAGAATGTTAGAATTGTACATGTTCATTTCTGTTAGTGTATTCTGTATAGTATTTGTAAACTATGCTGTGCAATTTCTTGGATTTTTTTGTATTTTAAGCGTTGAAAGCATCAACATTATCATCTCCCAATTACATCAATCAACTTACCCTGTTACATTTATTTGACCAATGATCTTAGCTGTGTTTAAAATGAATGGAATGAGACAACTTTTCTGATTGGTCACAAAGTTTGGGGGCATTTTGCATCACATCTAAGGGATAAATCAGTAATTCAGAGGGGAGGAGCATCAAATTATGCTTACTAAAAATGTTGTATCACAAATTACAAGTCTCACAAAGTTTTTTGTCGACAGGTTAAGATTTTTTTACAAATTTACAATTAAATCAT